AGTTCTAGAAACGTGCCGTGACACTAGTCATGTGACTTCGCTGACGCAACAATATATATATAGTTTCACTAACTCTTTGTACAATCAGGAAAAATAGCTACTGTTTAATTTATAATTCCAAAAGTAAATTTTACTTAGTAATGACGTTATACTTTCATAAACGAAAGGCTACAATATTAACTAACGGTTTCAGGACATGAACATGAGTACAGGTTAACTTGAGGGTTGTTTATGTAACCTTATAATAAAAAGTAACATCTTGAAAGTTGTTGTTGGCATGGAACAACTGCTTGATGAACTGGTGATCAGACGACGTTTCAATCCGTGTGTCTTTAGTAACAAACTGCTTGGTGAACTGGTGATTAGATGGCGTTTCGATCAGTGTATCTTTATCAATAAGATGTCTGACGAACTGGTGATTAGACAACATTTCCATCCATGTATCTATATCAACAACCAACCTAATGAAGTTGTGATTAAATGACGTTTCGATCCACGTATCTTTAACAACAAATTACTAAATGAACTGCTTTATCAACAAACTGTATAGCGAACTGGCGATTAGATTACATTTCCATTCGTGTATCTTTATCAACATCATGCGTAATGAAGTAGGGATTAGATGACGTTTCGATCCATGTACTTTTATCAACAAACTTCTTGATGATTAGACGACATTTTGATCGACTTTGATGTCCATAATCTTTAATTCAATATTAGGTCTAAATTATTCTTTAACGCTCACGTATCATACTTGTAATTCCTGTCTATTTCTTCTTCATCTTCTTTTAATTTACCGTTTCTTCTTGGTCATTTTTCCACTGTTTATAATTTTCAGCAAATTTTGATTTCGTTTCAACCATGTCTTGTCATCCTGAAATTGAGTTTGAATTCTGTATTTTATCTTATTTTACAAAAATAACCTCTTTTCTTATACTTTTTATTGTAGGGCGGACTCCTTTGTAAAAAATTAATTCCAGTCCATTTGACAATAACAAAAGCATTTTATCTCTTCAACAACATATCCTACCACTTGTACAAAGTAGCTTAGCTAATACTTGTTTGGTATGCCTAAAAGTTTACAGTACAACAATTCCGTTTTTGTGCTTATTTCCCCCCGCTCTCTCATATGAGTTGTATCTCTAGACTCGTAGAGTAACCCACAATTTAGTAACAGTCAAATAATTTTCTGCACTTTCAAGCAAAAAAAAAAAAAAAACCTTCAGACTGCAATAATGCTCTGTTGGAAATATTTAATCATGTCTTTTTTTAGTTACACTACCTATGATACTATTCATCAACAGCTTCAGTTTACTCAAGCTTCACTTGATATTTACTCCCTTTACTTTACCTGTTTTCATGTACATTCTCAAATTATTTTACTAGTTACTTATGTGGTTTCACGTTTCCTTGATCGTATTTGACTCTTCACACTTCTAGGCTTAATAGAAAGAGAATCTTGATCTATGATTTGGAAAATACCATTTCACCTTTTTCCAAAATAATGTGTGTTTAGTTATAACAAAACCACAACGGGCTATCTGCTATGTCTACAGACGGGAATCGAACCCCTAATTTTAGTACTGTAAATCTGAAGATTTACTGCTGTCCAACCGGGGAGCCTCCGAAGGAAGAATAACAACTTTGTCAGTTGATTATTATTGATTTGTAAGTCTGTTACACTGGATGATTGGTTACTGGGTTAGGTTTTATAGTTTATCTGTTAGTTCGATTAATGTTGAGTTTGTGTTTCGACGGATATACGCGGAAAGTTCGTACATACGAAAGAAGCTACCAAGTAAGAGACATCTACTGTGAAATTACACCTATTAGTGATCGCTAGTTAATCTAATTTGTTGAACTTATAGTCAAAGAATTTGTTTGTTTATTCTTAAGCGCAAAGCTACACAGTGGACTATTTGTGCTATACTCATTCTGAGTATAAAAACAATTTTAGTACAATAAGGACTTGACACTGAGCCACTGGGGGGGAGGGGGGGTATACTGGGTCTACAGCAGTGGTTCCAAACTCGATGACGAGGAACCCACTTTGAGATTAATAATGGCTGGAGACGGCTTAATGATGATGACAAAACCTTGTCGAAACGTTGTACATTTGCTGTTATGTTAAACTTATATTAAAGTTTTTCTTCATTACCCATTTAAGCCGTCTCCAGCCATTAGTGGTTCCAAACGTTTTTCACTGACGACATCCTAACCTACTTACTTTTATTTGCGCGAGACGCCTGCTGCCACAAGCAATATTTTTTGTAATGTATTTTTTCATGTAATTAATTATTCTTCGTTTCGTGTAACTCTAGCGACAACCAAAGCAACTTGTCGCAACAAAGATATTGGAAACCGTTGGTTTATAGTCAAAGAAATAAAACATTTTGGTTATCATTAAAAAGATTGAATTTTGTATCGCTTTTTTACCGAATACTCTAAAAGAATTCGTCCAGTAACAGAGACAGTTATAACATTATGTTATGCTTCTGAGTTGAGGATTAAACGTTTATTGGAATAATATATTTATGTGTTATGATTTATTCTTTGATTCCATTGTTTATATTTTGTTAGTAGTTTGTTTAACCTGCATTTATTTGTGTATTTTTATTCTATTCCAGTGTACTGATTATGCTCTCTGTATAAGCACTAGGGTTTTCCTATTCTATTTAAGCTATAAGTCAACTTAAAAGTTATGATGAATAATTACGCAATTATCCTGTATTTGTCTCAAAAAATATTAATAAAATATTAGACAGTAGTTAACATCTGCTTATTGACCTGGTGTTATTTGAGATAATTCATAGTCCTTACAATTCATACTAGTTACATAACCACGGATCAAATCTACTGAAATATCCAATCTTGTGAAAAAACATACAACTAGGTTCTTGTCTGCAGTATTACAAGCATAAGGACCGAAAACACCGCTTTAAGCGTGAGTACCTAATGGATAACCTAGGACAGAATGGTCATAGAAACATTTTAAATTTTTTTTGTTACTCTTAATTAAGACTATTTCATATTAACTGTAATTATTATTATAGAATTATAGCAGCTCTTCTGGTAAAAGATATTACATACTGGTATGGCATTATATAAATGTAAACACTGAAATTTTCTATCTTATAGAATAATAAGGACATTGTATGTTGATAAAGAAACCCGCTATAAATGCGTTTTACGAATTTAAAATATATTAAATTCGATATCGTTTTCAAATTGAAACTATCTTAATATTTGCATCTTAACCAATCCTGTTTTGAATCGTTGGGAAAAGTATTAAGCATTTAATTCACAATATTTCTACGAGATGGCACTGACGTATAAAATGTGTCAGTGAATATATCAAGCGTCAGTGAACCGCCACTAACAAGTTGAAATCAGAAAGTAATATACAGTGGTTGTGAAACAGTCGAGATGCAAGGAATGTCAAAATGATCTGACGACATTATAACTTGGTGGCAATTTAAAATACTGCCTGTAATATTTTGGAAACTACATTTATAATAAGTTTTGTATATCGTAGCAGAATTATGTTTCGATTTATTCCAATTTTGGGTGGCTGTAACCGACAAGTGGAACGTATTGATAAAATACATTGTAATTTAGTGAGTATACCTGACGATGTATTGCGTTATGCACGTACCTTAGAAGAGCTTTGTCTGGATGGCAATCGTTTAAGAGTTTTGCCAAGGGTAAGCAAATAACTTTATTTTTTTTATTAATTATACGACTAGTGTGCACATACCTTTGTAACAATATAAATTATAATATGACTTGGAAACCATATTGATTCCATAAACTATTTGAAATCAAGGAATATAAGTTGTAAGCCTTGTGAATGTGAGTTAGTAGTACTAGTATAACTTCTACTTCAAGTATAACCTACAAATACAATTTACAGTGAAACTTGAAAGTGTAATCATTAATATTATATTTATTATTAGAAATAAAGCTTATTTAGCATAATTCATTTTAAAAAAAATAAAATTAAGTAAAACCACTACCAAAAGCATTTAATTAAACTTTCTTTAATTTGTTTTTTATCAAGAGTATTTATATATGTATTACTATTATTATTAATAATATTAAGGTAAATTAGAGTCTAGAAGTGTACAGTACCGAAACTTTATAGTAATATTAATAGAAAATGAATAATATTTCATCTCAGCATTATTTTGTTGGTGTTTACTGTGTCCTTTCATTACAGGCTTGAAGTTGTTTACTAAAAGTAAAACTATACAGTTGAGTTAGTATCATTATACTACCTTATTTAAATGCAGGAAAACCAGTATCCTATATGTTGCACTTGCAGTTAGGCACTGTGCCAGAATAAATATTTGCAACTTATGCTAACATTGAATGTTTAAATTCACAAGAAGCTTTTCTTGCATACTTATTTGTGCACATGTTAAGCAATACGTGTATATATTTTTTAATACTTTGAATGTTTTACTACATGCAAAATCTTATTGTTTTTTCTTTGAGCAGTAGAACTTGTGTATACATACCTCACATTCGGGGATGACATTAGTGAGGGATGGGGGCAAAGCAGTCATCAAGGGGCCCTCATATTCTAGTCAAAGTAACCAGAAAATTTACAGAGTAATCCAACGTTAAGCAGTGCAAAATCCAGCTGTATATTTTCACCTATGTCAGATATGTTATTTCACTGAGTTACAAATGACATATATTTAAAATATCACCACATCCAGAGACCCAAAAGCACCCCCCATTCCTAACAATGACACTTGGGAACCTTGTAATTGTAAAACTAAGTATAGGACAGCCCTGGGTCCTTTTAAAACACTAGATATCTTTCTAAATGATTTCAATATAAAGTTAAAAACTCTTTCCTGTTCATAGATTTCCACTATGAAATTTGTTAGTAGAGAAATCAATAAGAATTAAATCTAATGCCAAACATTCTTTTATAGCTTGAAGTTCTTCCCTTTATGTTTAGATTTCCATTTAACTAATGCTATATTGTATCATTTCAAAACTTAGATGAGAAAATCTAGAGACAGATGGCTTAATTCCTTAAACATTGAGATCCTACCATCCAAATTTCAAGAATGTGTTTTAAGTCTTCCTTCTTACCTTGGTTATTAAAATTCACTTAACATGGCTTCTTGAATTTATATAGAAGAAAATGCATCATGTGTTTCTGTGCGTGTGTGTTGTTTTACAACATTTTTAAGGATCAAAGTTAAGAATTTTTAAATTAAAAGTTTTTTCTAGCTATTAAATAATCTAGCTTTTGGGAATTCCAAAAGACAGCTTAAATCCTGGCAAAAACTTGTTGGTAAATTACAGGGCAAGTTTTGTGAATGTATACAAGTATTTAGACTCATCTGGGTACTGCTAATTTTGTTGCTTTAAGTAAAAACTAAATGTTTTTTAAGTAATTCATTTTTACATGTAATGTAAATATCAAATTATAAGGCAAAAATATATATGGTTTTAAACAGTCAGTTGTTCTAATTGTCTTTAAACTATTTGGAAATATATTATGAATGAATAAACCAGACAAAAGGGACATTGTGTTAACAAAAATATAAACTTAACTAATATAAAAAAAAATATATACTTATTTATGCAATGTTGTGTTTTATTAGATATTTCATTCCAAAATCTGTTGGAATATTTGTGGATGAAAGGTAATATTTTACAAAATAAGTCATGCCACATTTTTATCATAGTATATTTCAAGTTGACCTCCAAAGTTTATAATTACACATCTTTAAAAGGCTAATATTATTCCTGTTGAATGCTTTGTAAATACTAAAATGTTTCTCGTGTAAGGATTATTCCTTGTACAAGCAGATATATAGTGTAGACTAGCTAGTTAAAAAAGAAATTGAAATATGAACAATATTCTGAATGACTTCTAACAAAAAACCATATCCATAGGCATTTATTTATTAAGTTGTGTCTTTATGTATCTACCAGATTTTATATTACTTTTACTTTTCACAGTTCTTAAGTATTTCCTTTATTCGACCTTATCTAACAGCACTGCAAAAGACTATATAATACTGTGTGTTTGTTCAGTTCATGTAGAAAATATTCTCTTTCTCTGCACTATTATCACTTTCAAACAACAAATAAGCTTTTCATGAATTGCTCTACTCTACATTTCCATGTTTTAAAAAGTGTATATTTCAAATCATGACCTTGATATTCACTCAATTGGTAACACGCTATTAGTGTTCAAGAAAAACAGGACTTTTAATTCTGTTTTGTGGAATAGTATTTAAAATTGTAGTTAATGTCTAACTTTTTCTCTACCATCAACTCAAAAGTTTTGGATGCTGCACAACATTGTAAACTAAGGAAATTTAAAAATCCTCTTGATATAAGGATAAATATCTCTTGGCTACTGTGAGCCAGCTTAGTGGTGTTTATGTTGTGAACTTCAAAATATAGAAAAACTTGGGATCTTTGTAATGTTGAATTGAAGTGTGATAGGAAGTTCTTAGGGTTGTTGAATGTGTCTTTACTCATGTTTTCAATTGTGTTTATGACAAGCAATATCTCAAACCCGTTCTTTAAAACAAGAACTCCATATGAATTTAACCAAATTGAACAGAATAAAAAATGACCACTATATAAAAGCATTCAGCTGGTCTAAACTACAGAGAACATTCAATAACAGTTATAATTCTCTAGACAGATGGATAGTGGACTTTTCTTTTCATTCTTTGTTTTTTTATTGTTATTATTTGAACTTGCATTGGCTTTTAATGCTATTAGAAATATACGTGAATGCTTGTAAGTATATTGACTTTACGTGCATGGGTAAGCAGTGTAGATCTTATGAACAAACAATTTGTATGTTTTATAAGTAATTATCTACTCCATTTTTCATTTATAGTCAGAATCATCAATATTATTGATTGAAGTATTGAAATTTATTTTGAATATTTTTGTGTTTACACTTTATTAGATTAGCCTAAATCTCCTAAGCTGGCCAAACTTTTTGAAATATTATTAAGAACAATATATTGTTAAAAGTAAGGGTACAAAATTGATGGTTCAAGGTATAATAATGGTAAGTTTTGGTTTTCTTTTCTATTAATTTGTAACATCAAGACTTCTACAGAATTGGCTTCATTGATTTATAAGTTATAGTTTTGTTCTGATCTATATAGTTAGCTTATTTATGATCCAAAATCCTTGAAACAAACTATATGAAAATAAGTATAAATCTCAGTACATGGCTTATATCTTGTAGCCTTCAGAAAGATTAGGCTTGGGAGACAAGAAGCCGATTGAAATGGAAAATTAAGCATGCATGTTTGTATAGAAATTTCTTCCTGTCATGGAATCAGCACAACACTTTTTAGCTAAGAGTCTTTCGTTATAAGGATCAGTAGACCAAACGTAAACAGAAATTTGGGTTATAGAAATAAACATTTCAAATAGTGTTCTGAAAAAAATATTTTAGAACAATATAAAACCCATTTTCTTACCAACCACCAATCATTATGCAAGTTGATAAAATTCTGCACGCACTCAGTTATACATTGCTTCACCAATGTGAAGGAAAGTGTGAAGCCCAAAGCTTTATCACAAGTTCAAAAATAAATAAAACAAACAAGGGGATGGAAAGCCTTCCAGTGTATCGTTTTGGCTTCAGAGTCACATTTATTATTTAAAAAAAAACTTTACATGCTTACGTTAACTGGAAACCATTTACAAAGATGCTATTAAGTACATTAATCATACGTGTAGTAACAGTAGTATAGAACAGGTGGTGCTTGAAGATGGTTATCTAAGAATTTTTTCATGCAAGTTTTATCTCCATATCTTTTTTAATTCATCAAGTGTAGAGTTATATTATTTACAAATATTAACTTCAACCTTTAGAAGTTAGGCTTAGTAAGCATCTCTTTTGAAGTATGAATGTATATCATCATTTATCTACACTTAAGTTCTTAGATATTATGACATCAATAAGCTCGTTTGATAGCTCCTTAAATGACTAAATGTTAGAATTTACTTTCAGCAAGGTTTCTTCTTTTTCTAGGGACTTTTTCGATTAGTCCGGTTAAGAAAACTGTCTTTAAGTGACAACGAAATTTGTCGTTTACCTCCAGATATTGCTAATTTGGAAAGTTTAGTAGAATTTGATGTGAGTAAGAATGGTAAGTATTATCTTATTGTAATACAATTTTATTCTAGCTCTGAAATGGTTATTTTATTGACATAAATGAAAACGGAGGGACAATCAAACAATCTTACAAGACAAACATGTTGCTCCTCTTCTGTTGGTTTATTTATGAGCTTAGTAGTGTTTTTTTTTTTGTTTTACTAAATTGAAGGTATAAAGAAAAAAGTTAAATTAATAGGGTCTGACGCAGTCCTAATTAATGACTTCAGTTGCTATTCAAAGACTAATGGAATTTCTACAATTAACTCAAGGGTGTTCTCTATGTTTTGTACATAATCATACATTTCACCTGGTAAAAGAAGTCAAAATCCTGAGAATAATTAATTCTAGATATATTTCTGTAGTTAGAAACAAAGCTTCATACTATAGACAGGTCTCGGAAGTCACTTGAACTCACCCACATTTTTCATTTGTAATAGATATTTAGGACTTGGTGTTAAGCCACATTGGAAAAGAGGATCCTACATTCACATCATTAAACGTTAATATATAACGCTGCTAGAAATCTATTATAAAAATTAGTAAATTGTACTTCAGAAATGAAAACTGTATCTAAGTTTGATATTGTTTCTTTAATAACAACTCGTAGTGACTATTTTACATGTATTGTGATTATTCTATAATATCTTAGTACATCATAACAGAATGCATAAATGAAATTTAAAAAAAAGGGGTTCCCTTGCACTTGTTAAAAAAGTAATTAATCCAGATAAATCATTGTGGGTTCTTATGTACATGTGACTTTTGTTTACAGGAGGTTTTTCCTGGGAGCACAGAATCTGTTTTATTCATTCGCACATAAATAATACAATGTGTTATGTAGAACATATTTCTAGATCATTTAAGATTTAACAGAAGAGCTATGTAGACTCCTAAATCACTGATCCATGTATACGATGGTTCTTATTTCTGATTGTTAAAAGACTTATGTATGCTGTGAAACAAGGTCAGCGGTTCTAGAACAAGGTGTCAAACCATTATAAAATGTGTTAGTTTTCTGGAATGTGATATTTTCTACAAAGAGAGAGAGAGAATGTTATGACTTCTTTATAAAACATTAATACCATATCAAACTTAAGGTGATTAAATTGTCAGTTCTGCAATAATATAAAATATAAAACAGAGAGAAAGAACATTTAATTCACCGTGTATAAAGTGTAATAAACTTAAAATAAGACCCAAAACTCGAGTGCTTTTGAATAGTTGATTATTCGAAAGCGCTCGAATTCTGGGTCTTATTTTAAGTTTAATTCATCATGTAGTTGTACGTTACCAAGTCATTTGTAGCAATAAATTTTTGTTTTAGAAGTTCATTACAGTGAAGAAGTACTACATAAAACTAAGTTTATATTTAATTATTAGTTTATCAATAAACATATCTGTGTTACATAAGAGAAAACGAATTTTATTAGCATGACAAGATTATTCTTTGCAAGAATAACAGTTTCATAGCAGACATAGAAGTAATTAATTCCTTAAAAATAATTAAATAAAATAGATTAGGTAATAGATAATTAGAGAAATACATTTCTAGATAAATTAATAAACTTCAGGATAAAGCCAACAAAATGAAATTGACATTAAAAAGGGAGCAAATAATAATTACGAGAAAATGTTATGAAAATTATTTACAAGACATAAAAAAAATTTATAGATTAAAAACAAATCATTTTATATCCTCCAAGGCAAGAAAGTCAGATATGAAAATTATTTACAAGACATAAAAAAATTTATAGATTAAAAACAAATCATGTTATATCCTCCAAGGCAAGAAAGTCAGATATGAAAATTATTTAAAACACATGAAAAAATATTTATAGATTAAAAACAAATCATTTTATATCCTCCAAGGCAAGAAAGTCAGAGATTTAAGACTTATTAAAAATAATTATGTAATTTTTGTGAGCCTTATAAAAAGCTTTTGTAATACTATAGAGATACTTTTTCTCTGTATTAAATTTTGTACTTGTGCATTTTTTTTTCTTTTCTATTATCGGTTTTTATTGTTAAGAGCTATAGTTCACTTAACAAGTGTTGTTTGACATCAGTGAATTATACCTTCAAAAATAACTTTATCACTGTTGTTTCTTGAGCCAATCCTTCAAAATATATTTTATTTTAAATAGTTATAGCATTTTCTTATGTCTTCCATTAGATTGTACCAATACTTTTATACACAAGTGTTATTGTTGGTATTCACGAGAAGAGCTTACAAAGACTATAATAAACTTTAGTAGGCTGGTTTCATTCATTTATAAAGCCTTTCTATGATCACCCAATCTACAGTAACAGTAGCCACAAACAATTGAAATATCAGTCTTATCTTGTTCTTTGGTCCTGGCCAAAGTTCACTTGGTACACACTATCTACCTTGCTGCACTGCAGGTAAACCAAGCTATGAATATATGGTTGATTGTTTTATATTATGTTTTATGTTCTAAGGATATAGTGATACCTGTATAAGATTCTCTGGATTTTGTGTTTTTTAACTTGTGTTAACAAATCATTCTATTTATTTAAAATGTAAAAAACAAACTACCAAACTAAAAAGTTGTTGTTTTTTTAGGTCACTAACTACCTGTTTGGTTAGACTACTTATGGTTTATTATAACTGCTGCCATCTATTGATCAGTGTATAATAGTCAGTTTTAAGTCTTATCAAAATTCCTAGCCTAGTCTAGGTTATATTAGGTTATAGTACCATGGATCAATATAGTTAGACATCTTGTTTTGTTTTCAAAGGTATTTGATTAAGAGACACATCCAGTAGTTGACCATCCATTACATTCTGCATTACAACCTTTTTAATTGTATACTAACTATGTAACTACATGTTGTGGGGCTATGAATTCCACTAATGTATGACATAGATATGTATATAAGTTTGCATGTGTATTTCTTTCAAGTTTTAACAGCTGGCTTGTGAAGAACCTTTAGAACTTTTTTCTTAAACAAAAAAAAAATCCATTATCACAGTTTTATTTGAATAAAATACTAAATATAGTTTCAGCATAAATAAAATCAATAACAGTGTAGTTATTTTTAACAGCCTTCTGTACTCTTAAAACTCAGGACAAAGGATTGTTACTAAAGCGTACAAGTAATAAAAGAATGGCTTAGTCTCTTCTGGAATAAGATGTATGCAGAGGAACCTAAATAAGTTAAAACTTTAACCTTCCAACTTTGCATATTGGAATAGTTTATTTTAATACTTTAATATGAGTATGTGGAAATATATATGTTAAAACTGTTTTGAAATATTTACTAAATTCCCTCAAGATTACCGAGCCATGTATTATATTTTCTTTTTTTAACCAATGATATTTTCAAAAAGTTTATAAAAATATAGTGTATGAAAAAATATTTACTGTTCGCTTGAGGCATTATGGGAATTTTCTTAAGGTGGTTTCTTGCAGTTTCATGCATTCTTTTGGGTTCACTAGTGTTGCATAGTTAAATATCAGGTGCTGGAGAATGAGGGCACTGAAAAGTTTTAAGTTGTTCAGCCACTTTAGTAGGCTTATGCCTCTGGCTTTTAGATATTGTTGTAATTCCAGCCTAATTATGTTTAATTCTATTTTTAAAAAAAGTGATATTGTTACCAGTTATTAGCTTGTTTTGATTAACTTTATGTGCTGCAGAATTTTGGGTACAAAATCTTTTGCAAAATTGCTTGTTTTTAGTTACTGAAAAAAAGAAAAGGAATTCTTGTAAAACAAACTCAGTGATAACCTTAACATCTGGATCTAGATACCTATGGCGTGTATAGCATAAATAATCCATTGTATCTCTTTGTGCTTAACAACAAACAAACAAACAAATTATGATTATATACATATATACAGGGGTGAGTGTGTGTATTATAGATATACAAATTCTGATGCTACTTTGTTTTTGTTATTAAACCTAGATGCCCTTAACATATATCTTTAAATATGTTATTTCATGTGTTTATAATTGCAAAAAATATAGCTTATTTTGTAAATATTAATTTGGGTCAAATTTGAATTGTGTACCAACATTTTTTATACTAAAAAATATACTATTCAACTTGCTGGAAAGATGCTAAACCAACAGCTTCAAGGTCAAGACCTAGTGGAGTAGTTGATTAAAACAACAACCAACAGTGTCATGGTCAAGACCTAGCAGAGTAGTTGGTTAAAACAACAACCAACAGCTTCAAGGTTTAGACCTAGTGGAGTAGTTGGCTAAGACAACAACTACAGTTGTAGTATAGCAACTGTCCAGCAAGTAGAGTCAGAGGTTTCGATCTCAACTAGTGTTGACTAGTTTTCACTTCTTCAAAGAACTTAGAAGTAGATTAATGTAATATTTTAGATTTTTTTCACACTCTTATATCTTTGGTTACTGGCTTTTAAAACGTCACATCCGGCAAGGCTACTTCGTTGTAAAGTATGGTTGAACAGGTTGCTCTGTTTACTAAGTTAACACTGCAATTATGTGATAGGATTTTAAATAAAGATGGTAAGTGAATTTATTGTTAGAGGTTAGTCGTTGACATTGTGATTAACTTGCATTGCATGATGTGTAACAAGGCTATTAACCTCCTCTCTCCCCTTCCTAAACCTGTTGGAAACGACGCGGAATGGATGGAATTTTCACTGTAAAATAGGACACGAGAGCAATGCACGTAGTTATCCTTCCTACTGACCCTTATTATATATATATATATATATATCTTATAAGCCTTATGTTGCGTGAAAACTGAAAATCTTTGACGTGTCGTTTTCGAACGATGTTTACCAATTCTCTTCCTTCCAGTGTCGTTGATGCTTAAATGTTACAACCGGATAACTTAACGATCAGAAACTTGTATCGAACAAAACACACATATACGTTAAGGTATCTTTTTTTCAGAATAACTCCTAGTGTCTTGTCGTTTGGTGCAAAGGGTGTTGTATCGTCATGATGTTTCACATCATCGAGTACCGTTGGTGAAGTTTACGTGGGAGA